AAAATTAAAATATCTAATCACATCATTAAATATATATAATATAACATAATATTACTCTTAAATTTATTATATAATAATTATTAATATTTTAATTTTTAAATATAAAAACTTTTTTTTTTTATAAAAGCAATGATTAATAAGTTAATGTTGTTAGATATTAGCATTTGAGGATTCGATCTCCAGATCTGATGAATAACTCACCGACCTCAATGAGGCGGGCAACCATCAGGTCGCTTGGTAGAATTCAAATATAAAAACATTTTAATTTTTTCTTTTCTCTAATCTATATGACCTTATCTATATGACTATGATCTTAACTAAAAATTAGATGAAAATAACTAAGCCTATCAGTAACATGATTAAACATTTACCTTTCATGATTTAGTCCTTTGGATTTAAATTATTCACCTTTAAATTTTAAGATATTTAAATTAATTAATTAAAATTTTAAATCTTATTAACACCTTGAAGAATCTCCCTTTTCCATCCCTCAAATTGTAAACCGTTAAAAAAAAAAACACACTTCTCGTTATAGAGGTGTAATTCGATTTAACTCGAAATTAATTATATGAGGTATTATATGAGGTATAGAGAGGTTAGTGTAAAAAGACAAAAAACCTTTTCAAGTAAAATGGTCAAATACCTACTTCCCCACGACTCCCCATGTTTCAAAAGAAAAAGGAATTATCACTGTCAACGTCAACAACCAAAAAGGCCAAGAGAAAAAAAAAAAAAAATGTGAAAAACTTCAAACAAACCCCAATTTCTTCGTACTCATTTGTCGTTACTGAAGATCAATTAGATAAGTATGTTAAGGTGGGACATTTTCCTTTATTATGGGATGGTGGCCCCCATATAACTACATTACAATTTGTCCTTCAAAAAGAAAATTAATAAATAATAATGATAATGATAAATTTAAGTACATGACAATAGGGCTCACAGACTTGGAAGTTTTAAGACTTAATTGCCCCTGGGCCCTGGCTACTGGGCTCATCACCCACCCATTGAGTTATTTTCTTCATTTTTTTATGAATAAATAAAAAAAATCTCATTACTACTATTTACATGGGTTTCAAAATTCAAACCGACATTTTTAATGTAAGAGTTTCAAACTGTCTCCTAGAGGAAGTATTACTACCTATG